GGTGGAGAAGGAGGAAGGGGAGAAGGGAGAAGCTGGTGGAGGAGGAAGGGGAGAATGAAGAAGCTGGTGGAGAAGGAGGAAGGGGAGAAGGGAGAAGCTGGTGGAGGAGGAAGGGGAGAAGGGAGAAGCTGGTGGAGAAGGAGGAAGGGGAGAAGGGAGAAGCTGGTGGAGGAGGAAGGGGAGAATGAAGAAGGTGGTGGAGAAGGAGGAAGGGGAGAAGGGAAAAGCTGGTGGAGGAGGAAGGGGAGCAGGAGGGGGAGAAGGGAGCTGGTGGAGGAGTAGGGGGGAAGGTGAGGGAGGAGGAGGAGGGGGAATGCACAGCTTCTCCCCCTCCTCCTTCTCCAGCAGCTTCTCCCTTCTCCCCCTCCTCCTTCTCCACCAGCTTCTCCCCCTCCTCCTCCACCTTCTCCCCTTCCTCCTCCACCAGCTTCTCCCTTCTCCCCTTCCTCCTTCTCCACCACCTTCTCCCTTCTCCCCTTCCTCCTCCACCAGCTTCTCCCTTCTCCCCTTCCTCCTTCTCCACCAGATTACGAAATATGAGCTCACTGCGCTTACTACTTGCGCCAGCTATAACACGACGTACGTACATTCCAAAACTACGTGTGAACGCTGTTTAACTCAAGGTATACCTATACGCGTATCGTACGGAGTCCGTAAGATACGCGTTCGAAACTGGGTTCTACGGTACGTGTTGCCAAGGGCTGACGCCTTAGACGCCTTAAGGCTGACGCCTTAGACGGTGTGTGCATGTGCACGTACACGTGCGTGCGCGTGTGTGCAGGTACACGTGTGTGCATGTGTGCGTGCGTGCGTCCGTGTGTGTGCACGTACACGTGCGTGCGTGCGTCCGTGTGTGTGCACGTACACGTGCGTGCGTGCGTCCGTGTGTGTGCACGTACACGTGCGTGCGTGCGTGTGCAGGTACACGTTCGTGCGTGCGTGCGTGCTTGTGCAGGTACACGTGTGTGCATGTGTGCGTGCGTGCATGTGTGCGTGCGTGCGTGTGTGCGTGTGCAGGTACACGTGTGTGCATGTGTGCGTGCGTGCGTACGTGCGTGTGTGTGCAGGTACATCGTACTAGTGTTGCCGCCTATCGTGGAGTTATGTACTATTCGCTAACTCGAGTTAGCTTAACCTCGATCGACTGGCGAGTTAAGCTAACTCGAGTTAACGCTAACGTTAAGGCCCCGTGTAGACGGTTAACTCGAGTTAAGGTTCGTCGTGTAGACGAGGCTATATATACAGGGTGCGAAATTAATGGGAGTCCGGAGTCAAATACTCCCTGATTTACTGTCGGACTCCCTGATTTGACATATGCAGGAGTCCGTGTGACTCCCTGAAAATTCTGAGCACGGCCTCGCGGAATTACTATATTTGTTCAGCTAATGTCCAAAGAAAATTTGGCAGACGTGCAACTGCATGAATCTTAAAAATAAGCACATGCGTTATTGTTAATATCTTTAATTTTGAACCTCAGACTGCAGACTCCCTCTTTTTGAGGGAGGGAGTCCAGTAATCTTGTGATATCTAATGCAATTCTGTATATACTTATATATAGTTTCTACCTCTGAACTATCACTCGCTTGTTGCTTGCTAGTAGTAGTGTGCCATCGTCTTCTAACACTTCTCAGATTAGTTGGCAGCAGCCGCTTCAAAAAGATTGGTGCAGAGTTCACCTTCTCTGTAGCTGCATGCAAGCCCACGTTTATAACAGTCTGTACAGCAGCCGATCTCCACGGGGCAGGAGAATCTGAGATACAAGCACAAATGTTTCTCAGGGACTTGGAGATGCTTACCCATATTACACCAAGAATTGATAACAAGACGATATTTTACTGTCCCAACACAACCCAACAAGTACCACATTAAGTCTGCTTATAATTTATAGACTTCAACTTAATTAAATTATGTGTGGATTGGAGATGTGTGCATTGTAAACATTATATAAACGTTATAAACAGGGTATGTAGTAACGAAGTTTGACTGTATATATATATATATATGTATAGTACATATTTTTTGCCAATAATCTCCAACCAAACCTTTTAATTCTTAACTATTAGATATAGCATATATGCCACTTCTAGTCATTTTAAGCAATTCTATCCCTCAATACACGGGTTATAAGAAATACCATTGATATCTATCCTGTTAGCATATATACCTGCTGAACGGGTGTTGTGTTGCACAATGTGCGGCTCCTCTTGCTCTCTGCTGTATCTTGGTGAGACAGTTGCTTGAACTGGTTGCCTTTGCAAGTATGTTGAATCCAGAGGAGTTGACGGTGGTGACGTACCCAAAGAAGGCTTGCTGTTAAATATAGCATAAAAGGTAAGTTATGGTATCCAAAATTCAAAAACCCCAGTCACTCAATTTATAAATAAATATTACATACATAACATACAAGTTTACATTCATTAAAAAATGACGAAAACTACGAGTGGTTTACAGATATATATACAAGGTTAGGTGCATACGTACCGGGAATCAACAGAAGAGTCCGGCGAAACTGACATTTCTACATGACTATAGGATGCCCGATGCCAAGATGACTTCTGTTCAGGTGTAGACACTAACCACTGTACAACCTTTTGATGCCGTTTATCAGACAAGTGTTTCCGAGTATCTCGAGTTGAACTCTCAATATTCAGAACTGACTTGGTGGCGTTTTGATATCTATCTTTGCATTTTCGTTGCTCAGCCTTTCCAGTCATCTGACTAGCATGCTGTACAGATGTTTCTCTATAACATTGATTTATGCAATGAGCCCTTGATTTTGACATCTTATCCGTAATTTTAGTGTCTCTCTGACGTGATGATTTCTGACTGTTGCTGACGGCACATTCCACCGAAGTCAGAGCATGCTTCCTGGTTGACTTAGGTTTTTCTTCCATCAAATCGGCACTCCAATCTATCACCTTGAAAGTCACATCGCTGTCCTCGCTGTCACACACAGTACTGCTTTCAATGATGGAGACACTAATGTCAGGCATGGTCGAGTTAACAACCTTGGCTGGTGTACTACTAGTACTACGTGACTGTCCAGTGATGACCTTGGGTGAATGCTGCACAGCAGGGGAAGGGTTCTCCTTCATTTGACGTGTGGCTGTAGGTGTAGCGTACATGTTGACATCGTCACGCAGCTCATTATACTGTGTTGGTACTGACTGCAGTTTGACTCTACTTGGAAGTTCTATTAACTGGTGGGTTGATGGAAGGCCAGGAACAGGCACCGACGCTGGCACCATCACACTTAGCTTACTGCTTAGATGTGGAAAATTGGGCCTTAATACATCTGTAGCATGAGCACGACACACTTCAGTGTTATTTCTTCTGACTGATACCTTACTTGCACCATTTTTGTCTGTACATGACACAACAAAATTTTTCTGTTGCTCCACAATACCCTCACCATGTAGGCAGCTTCTCACACCATCGATGTTAGATGCAACCATCTCTGGTTTTATCTCAGTGGGTTGTTCAAAGGGTTGGCTTCTGGATATCTTGTAGGGTAGCACTGGGCTATGGCATGAATGACTTTCTTCGGTTCGTTTAGAATCGTTTGTCAGTATCAGCACTTTACCTGTAGATGGTGAATCTTTTGGGTGGTAGATAAGGTTGTCTTGACCTTCATTTCCATTTTTGTTCTCTGCTCTATTTGTCAAGTTCTCATGCATGGGTTCCAGGTAGCTAAGCTGTCCTATCTGCGACTTTAAATGCCAAGTACTACAAGCCCACTCACGTGTTTCGCCAAGCTGTGTACATTGAGCATTGGGTGATAGGCATCGTCGTTTTGGTGGCGACGATATACGTGCAATGTCCGAATCATGAACTATGGCTGCGAGTCTGTCAGAGTTGATGCAGCTGATTCTTTTCAGGTCGGTACTTTTTTGCACATGCGCGTCTGACTGCAAGTATTTACAGCTCTTAGCTAACACAGTCTCTAACGAATCAGCAAGTTCCCTGTCACTGCAAGAGCTTGCTGATATGCGGGAGTCGTCATCATTGTTACCCACTTCTTCGGCTACCAATCCGGTAGAAGCTTTCCTGCTAGGTAGTAATCGCACAATTTTTTTATTTGGGTCGTAACTTTGCTGAGTCTTTGAATCATCTTGCTTGTCTGTTGCGCGTGACAGAGTAATCATTTCTTTAATCTCGTCTGCAATTCTTGCAGGGGGTACTCCCAGTGCATTCGTATTGATTTTACGAGGCATTGGAGAGGCGTGTGGTATTCCAGGAATCACAAGAGGTTCAGGAGATTGAAATATTGCTAGGATCTCCTCAGTGCTGAAACGGGGGGTACCACGGTAGGGTGTTCTTACAATCTTCCTCGTGCGCTCTTTGCAGGTACTTGGCGTTTTGGACAGTGAGATACAGTTGGATGAGTGCGATTTGCAGTTATGTGTTGCACAATCCGTGTTGTCACATTTAGTTGAGGAAGTGTGTCTGGATAGGCTATCTACAGATACATCCGTCATTGGTTTGTCATTGGGGTTTGGAGTTGTAGTCAATGATGTAGGACTGTATGGTGATAGACGGCTTTCGATTTTATTTGTAAAACGATTCTTGCTGGTGGATTTAGCTGGTGTACTGAGCCTAGTTGGGCAACAAGCTAAATTATCTGCGCAAGCCTTTCCATCATTTGACATTCGCACAGATGCAACAGAATGCACATTTTCACAGGCAAGACCGTCGAAATGAGATGATGCATGATTAAAGTGCCCGGTAGGCATCACAACCGTGGGCAATGTAAATGTCATTCCAAAGATTTCACTATCACTGGATTCCTGAAATTCCAATCTCTTATTTACGGTCTTCACATCATTACCATGGGATTGACATGAAGGGCTCTTTGCACCAGAACTGTTTGCATCGTTTTTGGCACTGTCATGACTTGACAAACACAGATTTGGAAACAGCCTAGCAATCAAAGGAGTATGTTTTACTTGACTTCTAGTTTCCACAATGGAATTTGGAATTATGTCTTCACTGTTTTCCTCCAGTGCCGAGAAACACCCACTTTCGCTCAAACTTTGCCTAGTAACTCTGCTTGAACTGTCAACATTACCTTTCCATATTTTGGGTATATAAACACTTGACTGGTTACTAGCATCATCGCTATCATATTCACTCATCTCACCATAATTACTGTCTTCTTCGCTTCTATTCTCTTCATCATCACTGTCACTGGAACTGTTTCTCCTGCCATAATCATAGCTGAACGGGGCGCTCTCAAAATTATGAGAGAGAATGTCATTCTTGATAGCTTCGACTGCAGAATCATACACCTTTGAGAGGTCCTTATTAGGACTTTGTGCTGATATCTCATCATCTCCTGCATTGTCCTGTAAGATTGTTGTGTCACTGTCGTTAGAGTTTGATGTAGGTAGAAGAGCCGGACCCAAGTCGGAACTGTCAAGACATGACGTCGCCGCTAACCTGCTGTAACCAAATATTTTTGGTGATGGCTGTTTGGACAGCTGCCCACGATCTCTGATAATGGAAAGTGAGTCAAGGTCAATAACATCACTGCTATTGTCATGCTGTCCGTACTTCTCAATGATATGAGCGAAGTTCCTTTCTAGGCGCAAACGGGACTGGTGACGCTGTTCTTCTAGTGATGACATATTTAACCTGTAACGGTTAACAATAACATGTCATTATTTCCTGAGTTGAGTCTGTATCAACACACAATTGCAGTCTATTAATAGCATATCATGATATTTCTACCATTATGCAGGGGTCGAAATTAGATTTTTATTTTCGTATCCATTCGGGATACCAGGTATTGAAATCTGGTATCCCTCCCAAAGATCTGGTATCCCATTTTTGGGATAGTAATTTCAACAATGTTGGTATCCAAAATCTTGAAATAGTAGCATTATATAGCAGCTAGTATCTCAATAACAGCATTTGAAAATTATTAATATGTAATGTAATTATTATATAAAAACATGAAAACAGATTCACAGATATGCGCAGACAAGCTTCAGTTATGAACGCAGTCAAATAGAACAGCAGATGACCATGTTATGGAATGGTGCAGTACAAACAGGCACAGTCTGCAGGAGTTTGCAATCGCTGTTGCTAGCTCTATCACATTGTTTTTTTTACTACCCCGGCGGGATATCAAGCATTAATTAAAATCTGGTATCCCGCGGATATCAGGATACCGCTAATTTCGACCCCTGTTATGGTTATAGATTATGGCAAATTCTTTGTCTAGCACTATATATAGCCTCGATTGCTTTGCACTAGGCTTCCACACGATATTAACCAATCAACTTGTAATGGGAGCTACACAGTACACACACTGCTGCCTAGGTGTACATTATTATTATTATTATTATTAGTTTGGATTCATTGGCAATGTGTCGGTTGCACAGGCACTTAAAACGTTTCAATAACAAAATGATGGTAAATAAACATGAAATCAAGAGCTAATAATACCTAGAGTGTACAACGGGAAAACGGGGAAATAGTGCTATTTCACGGCAATATTATTCTTTTTTGTCTGCGAATCTAGAATAAGTTTATGGTATTGCGTTAAGCAGCATTCTTTGTTCTCTAAAACAAGACCAACCGCTTGTCTCTACGTTACCTCTAGGCCGAGATATTGGATCGTAATCATGCCTCCCACACTGGCCTCACGACGCCTCAATACCACACATATTCCCGCACCTTTGCGCGCTTACCTTCGTGAGAGTTCGGTTTTTTCCGCGATGACTTTATGAATGAACGGCGTTTCGGTTATCATCGGTGGCTTTCGAAGGGGCGTCACCTAGGACCTTATCTCCCATTATCTTTCCTAGCACCATGCTAGTAGCACGGCTAATGCCCGTAATGATGGAGCCAAAAATGTTTTCTAAATTAATTTTCTACAATGCAGCTCAGTTACTATGGTGTAGTAAGCGTACCAAATTTGGGCACGTGACATCAATTATCAGCGCTCCAAGCGGCGATGGAAAACGATAGCCAAAATCGTTAAGCGCGCAAACGTGCGGGAATATGTGGTATCGAGGCGTCGTGAGGCCAGTGTGGGAGGCATGATTACGATCCAATATCTCGGCCTAGAGGTATCGTAGAGACAAGCGGTTGGTCTTGATTTAGAGAACAAAGAATGCTGCAAGAATAATGCATTCAGGGGTAGAAATTAACTTTTGAACACGGGAGTCCAACGGCCTCCCTACCCTCAAAAAGAGGGAGTCCGCAGCAAAATAAGGGAGTCCGCAGTCAGAGGTTTAAAATTAAAGATATTAACAATAACGCATGTGCTTATTTTTAAGATTCATGCGGTTGCACGTTTGCCAAATTTTCTTTGGACATTAGCTGAAAAAATACGGTAATTCCACGAGGCCGTGCTCCGGAACGAACTAGTAGTTAGTATGGCAGAATTTTTAGGGAGTCACACGGACTCCTGCATATGTCAAACATGACAGTAAATCAGGGAGTATTTGACTCCGGACTCCCGTTAATTTAGCACCCTGTGCATTGAATAATGCATAAGAATAATGCAATACCATGAACTTATTCTAGACTCGCAGACAAAGTAGAATAATATTGCCGTGAAATAGCACTATTTTCCCGTTGTACATTCTAGGTATTATTAGCTCTTGACGAAATGTACCAAAGTCTCAATGTTTATGTATTCACTATCAACTATAAATAATTCCACGTTAATGCCGTTCAATGTTCTTTTGCAACACAAAATCTCACTGCACGCACGCCGCAGTGCACAAACAGAAATATAGTTTTTGTTGAGAGAATTTTTCATCAAAATTATTAATTACTAATACTATTAATTATAAAAAATAATTACTATATTAATATTAATATAAATATATATTTGATATTAATAACTATATTTTTGAATTTGTTGTTTGTGCACAGTCGACAGTGGCGTGCGTGCGGGTCAACCTGTGCACAAATGATGGTAAAGTGATACTCTGATTCGCCCATTATTGCCAATAATTTCATGTAAATGCCATTCAAATATGCTCCTCTGCAATTCTTTGTTCTTGTTGTTTGTGCACAGCACTGTCAGCAGCGGGTATGCGCGGCATCAATTATCATGACGTCATGGTAGTAGCTAAGTTGTGTTGCGCAGAGGAGCATTCGAACGGCATTTACGAAAATTATCGACAATAATATGTAAAAGCAAATATAATATTATAAAAAACATTAAGACTTAATTTATCTTTGGTAGTAATAGGGGTGTAACATTATACCGGTATATCGGTATATTGCAATATATTTTGAAAACTCGATACATCGCGATACAACTTCCGGATATCGATATTTTATGATACGGTGGTAGGAACAAGAAATAAACTACTTGACACTTGCCTTTATGTCTATATTGTTAATGGGCTCGAAAATTATGCACTGGCGGTGTATATATTACGAAAGCACAATGCCTGCACGATGCATACAGTATTACTGGTAAGCGACCACTGCATGGAGCACTGCGCGGGCAGAGTGGGGCAGACGTGTGAGCGAGCACGTCAACCAGGGAGTCTATATATAGCCTATGCTTGCCTGAGTGCCCGCGCGCGCGATACAAGCTGAAGCGAGCGCCCACTGTTTCAGTTTCAGTTTTAGTATCCAGTATTAGGCCATTATGCAGCAGGGGTATTAGCCGCGTTCACACGTAGCAAGAAATTCGGTATTTAGCGTTCACACGAGGCAAAATGCGCGGTCCAAGAAATACGGTATCTAAACAGATCCGGTATTTGATGTAAATACGCGGCTTCCCAGACCCCGAATAATTTGCCGTGCTTGAGAAATACCGGATCTCTTGGACCGCGCATTTCCTCATGTGAACGCTCGTTCCAGTTCGTTCGTTCGTTCGTTCGTTCGAACTTCCACTCTCCACGCTCGAACGAACTTCCACGCTCGTTCCACTTCGTTCGTTCGTTCGTTCGTTCGTTCGTTCGTTCGTTCGT